CTATTTCCTATCCAACATGACTAGTATCCTGACCTCTTGTCAGGTTAATTCACAATCCTTACCAGCCCATTTCGACGAATTTCAGCAATATTTTACCTGCAATTTTTACCATACTATTGCAGTTTCCGAAACATGGCTAAAACCCCACATACCTTCCTCTTCCGTTTCCTTACCCGATCACACCTTTATCCGCCATGACCGGATTACACGAACGGGTGGTGGTGTGGGTCTTTACGTCCGTAATAGCCTAAAATCCCGAACCCTAGATATCTCACCCCCTTCCAAATATCCCCACATGGAATACCTTTTTGTTGAAATTTCCTTTAAAGCCCATCTTCTCCTATACGTTGTAGTATACCGCCCTCCTCTGGTACCTTTCGACCCATCCTTCGAATCAACCCTGTACAAATTTATCCCATTTTACAGTAATATAATAGTTTCTGGTGACTTTAACGCCAATCTCCTTTCCGATTCCCACGATAAACACTACCTGGAAAACCTTTTCTACTCCCTTAACCTCTTTATAGTGCCATTTGCTCCTACTCATCACACTTGCTGGTCTGATACATGGCTGGACCTGTTTATCGTCGATTCTGCGCAGAACCTTTTGTCCTCGTCCCAACAACCTGTTCCTTTCCTGTCTTCACATGACCTCATCCAACTATCTTACAATATCCAGACCCCTGCGATCCTTCCTAAAACCATAACCTTCCGCAATATAAATTCCCTAACCCGTGAAAGCATCTTACCCGATATTGAAACCCTGAATTGGAATGTTGTTTACACCAGCTCCTCAATCGATACCATGGTAGATATCCTGACTTCTAATCTCCTCCATATCCTCAATACCCATGCCCCACTTAAAATCTCTACATTCCCCCGCCAGTCTGCTCCTTGGATGTGTCAAGAAATTCGAAATATGCAAAAGAGACGTGAGGCAGCCCGTAGACGTTTCAGAAGAACCAGGCTTGCAGATGACTACGAAGCGTTCAGGGTACTCCGTAACTTGACGCAAACAACGATCAGGCAAGCGAAAACCAATTACTTTCATGAAGCCTTCTCCTCAGCTCCTGATTCAAAATCCTAATGGCATTTACTCCGAAAGCTATCTGTTTGCAAATCATCTTCTTCCCTAGCTGTCCCAGTCACTCCTGATGCGTTAAATTCCTACTTTTTGTCCTTCTCCTCTAGTAATATTTCTCCCGCCTCTTCTTATATTCCTGTATCATCTGCATTTAATAGTGATAATTTTTATTTTTCCTACATCACTCCTACGAACCTTATTTCCTCCATAATGAAATCCCAATCCAACTCTACAGGAATTGACGGAATACCTGTCAAACTGTTAAAATTATACCTCCCTGAAATCCTTCCAGTTCTTCTATTCATTTATAACTTTTCCCTTCAAAATTCAGTTTTTCCTACATCCTGGAAAAAAAGCCTTAGTCCGTCCTATTAACAAAATCCCTAACCCCACCTCTCCTAAACACTACCGTCCAATCTCCATCCTCTCAAATCTGTCAAAACCCCTCGAAAGAATAGTCCAATCCCAAATTTCCAATTACCTCGAAGAGTTAAAACTTTTAGATCCTCTCCAATCTGGCTTTCGCCCAGGCTTCTCCACTCAATCCGCTTTAGCTAAAATCACAAATGACATACATACTGCAATTGACGAAAGAAAACTGACTGACCATTCTATTCTCTTCAATAAATTAAAATCTCTATCCTTTTCCAATAGTTCTATCCAATGTTTCAAATCCTTTCTTTCTGACAGGACTCATGCCGTTAGTATTTCGAATCAACCCTTATCTTCTTTCCTCTCTTTGTCTCATGGAGTAGCCCAGGGTTCCAGCATTTCTCCTATCCTATTTAATTCTTACATCAATGACCTTCCTAGTTCAATCCACCATTGTTCATACCATCTATATGCTGATGACTCCCAAATTTATTTTTCCTTTCCGCCCACTGAGTTAATAGAAGCGTTTACGAATATTCAGAGAGACCTAGATAGGATAAGTGCCTGGGCAAGCTTGAATAAATTAAAGTTGAATGCAACGAAAATTCAGGCCATTCTTATAGGTTCTAACTCCCTCCTTAGATCCATTTCCACCCATCCTTCCTTGAATATTAATGACCAACCAATATCCTTTACCTCCTCTGTAAAAAAACTTAGGAATTACCATTGATCAAAACCTATCATGGAAACCCCACATTGCTCAAATCTCCAGAAGGTCAATTGGTACTCTTAAATTATTTCATCGTTCTCGTCAGCATCTCCCACAACCTATCCGCAGGCTCCTCGTTTCCTCATTGATTTTCCCCTACTTTGACTATGGCTGTGTGGTATACGGTGGCCTCTCGTTGGAGCTTGAGGACAGACTGAAGAGAATCATGAACTGTTTTTTAAGATTCGTCTTCGGCACTTCGGGATGGTCTCATGTGTCCCACCTATATGCCGAGTCAAAGTGGCTCTTCCCCTCTTCCCGCCGCCTATACTTCCTTGGAAATTTCTTATACCAAACGATCAAGTCCCAGCACCCTTCCTATATCTGTTGTCTCCTCCAGCCTAAACCCTTAGTCCACTCAATAAAAACGAGATCCCGCGTTTCTGACCTCTATATTCCATTCCACAGGACAAAAACCTATGAACGTTCCTTCTTAGCCCGTTCCGTCTCCTACTGGAATTCTTTGCCACATAACATCCGTCATGCCTCTTCCCTGTCAACTTTCAAATACCTCCTTTTCCAATATCTCCTTACATCCCAAACAGAAGATTTACCACCATAAATTTCATTTTATGAACTAAATTTGCGTGAAGTAAATAGTGGTGCCTACTGTTTAAGTTTTAACATAAAACAGCAATTATCTTTGTCACCTAGTTTGACTATTATTTTTACTATTTATGTATTTTTCTCTTCTCCTCAGGTTGTGCTTTTTCTTTCGGGTATATATGCTTATATTTTATATTTTTGTTTTTATGTGTGCCAATATGAGAATGTACGTATAAATAGTTCCTTTTATTTATTTTACTTTTTTTTTTTCCATTACACCACAAGTATCCTAAGATTTTATTTTATCTTAGTGTCTGCATATTATTATATGAACCACTGTAGATATTATTACATTTTGTATTAAGTTAGTTTTCTATTAGATAGCCTATTGTTTATAAATTGTGTAGTTATGTATATATAAATATGTTATTTCTCTTCTTTTTTTTTTTTCATCTCAATTAAGTAATTTTAAGAAGATTTTATGTTCATTTGTATATATATTTTTTTTTTTATTTTTTACTGGTTACATACTTTTTAAATAATGTATATAATATTAAAATTTTTATAAGTTAGTTTTTGGCCAGATTTGTACTTTACTTTGTATTAACTCATCATTGTTATTCTAAAGGGACTTAGTCCCAGAATAAAGTTTAATTTTCTATTCTATTCTATTCTATTCTATATGAAATAAAAGCTCTCGGGCTGAAGGCCCTCCCCCCCAAAAAAAAAAAATAAATCCTAGATCCGCTAGTGCTCATCCTCTGAGAGGTTGCTACTCTCATCATTTTCCAACGGTGAAACAAATAAAATAACAACTTATATAGATAACGAATTTATGAGAAATTGAAAGACAGTGACAGGTCACCTGTTAGCATTTCATGAAATGAACTAGCTAATTAAAAAGAACAATCTATAAAAAAATAAACTAAATTATAAAAATTCCCCCCTCCCCTCTACTGTGACAATTTTCTTTTGAACTGGCTAAGCCTTTCACTAATTTCGGTTCTAAATAACACAATGAATTTCAATTGATAAATTTGACTTTATTCAAATGGATTTAATAATAGTTTGATTGTTTTCTATCAAACAAACGGTTACACTCGAATAACTGGTCAGTATATGCATAACGAAGTTTAAGTTTATTATAATTCTAAAGTTCTACAACAATTGTTTAAATTATATTTGTTTCAAATATATAACTTTATGAAACAAATTAATTGCTCGGTTTTATTTCTCAACTCGAAACCCCCCACCCTCTCTTCTGAAATAATTTAAAGATTTTTAAACATAATAAACAGATGTAATGCCTAATTCATAGATATATCTGATGCAATCTGCGTTCGGATTTCTTTGTATGTTTGTATTTTAATGAAGGCTACTGTACTTGCCAAGGCTTGAAACTTTTATAGTGCTTAAAAAAGTTTCATTTTCACTGTTTTAAAAGAACTATTATAGAGGAAAAAAATAAAAAAAAGGAAAAAAAAATAAAATAAAAGGTTCTAAGGATGCTTTTGTATCAAATAACTGGATGTACTTAATTATATACGTTCTGTGAAAAAGTAAATAAAGTTAAATTGTTAAATAACAAATTAACAGTAAATAGGCTTAAGGTCATAGACAGAATTACACTTTCTGATCATTATATTTGTTTGAATAGTTAATAATGTACTGCACCGTTATATTTTTTTATATTACTTTTAGATTGTACTTTTAAAAACATTTTATTCCAAATTTATCTGGAAAAAAGATCGAGTTCAAAGGGAGCAGACAAACAATTGAAAATAAAAATTCAAGTCATGTCTGAAATGAATATAAATAAAAGATAGCTTTTCGTCTCAAGCCCTGATAGGTACGAATAAAAAAAAAATACATATTTTATTTCTAGTTAACTTCGTTTTTCTCTAAAAAAACGAAAAGTTTATAAAATTAATCATTACAAGAAGGCTCGTTTGATTAATTTTTCCACATGAAATTTCTCATTTATGCGGTTTATAAGCAATGAAAGTTATTTTAAATTAGATTCGAGCGTTGAACAATATATATGTTGCTCCTAAAAGGATAAAAGATGATCCAGGATGGTAGTATTACCTATTAGCAAGAATATTTTAATATGTGAGTTTTTCCCGCGGTAGTTTTCTCTATGATGATTGGGAGATAAATGAAAGAGGAGGAGGGGGAATGGTATAAACGCGGCCCCGTCCCTGATAACTTTTTAGTCAAGTTGATAACGCCTCGTTGAATTGTGTTTTGTTTTTCTTAGTTATGGCATTTCTCTTCTTGAAGAACCTCGCAACTTTTGCTGTACTTATGCTTATGTTGATGATAATATTGATATCGAATGTGACCGTCATTTCCCCAACCTGCGATATTTATTCTGACGGTTCTAGATTCTTCAGCTGTGTGAACACTTCAAATACTACGGATGTTAACTTGAGTTTGATCGAGGTACCACAATATGAATATTCTTACACCTATGTATTGGTTACATCTTTTTTTTTTTTATTCGCGTGTTTCCTGAACGAGGACTTCTATAACCCATTCGCATTAAGATACATAGATAGCATTGAAGATATTACTGACTATACATTCGATGATTTAACCAACGAAGTTGTAAAATTGATCAGATTCAAAACAGACGTGCTATTCTTGATGAGAGACGTAATTAAACATATATTTGATATTCTACACATGATTGTTCACCTCATATTGTCTTACGGTTTTTCTTTCTACTGCGCCTTGAATATGGGATATACCACAGAAGAGGCTAAATATGAGTTTTTTCCATCAGTGAAAAAGTGCAGTTTTGATCATTGGCCTTTCCGAGCCGAGTGCAAAGTAGGATATGGCACCGTTCTCAAGGGCGTCTTTGTCGTCTTATGGATGTGGTATTTCGTCACAAGTCTCATCATCGTCTGCTGTATAATAAACAAAATTTGGAAATGTTATAAAACAAAAAAAGGACTCAGATATAAAAATTTTACCACGTTGGAAGACTGGCTCGCTTTTATATGTCAAGAAAAAATAATTCATCTGAATAGGATGTCGTGTCGTCTTCACATAAAGGATTTCGAAGAAGCTGCGAGGAGGTTGGTCTTGGAGCCACAGGTGAAGAGGTTGGGGCCGCGAGACTTGGAAATAGAGATCGAATTGGAAACTCTCCTCCCAGTCATCTCTAGCTCTTGGCCATCCTTGGATTCCCAGATCAGCCATACAGAATGATCAAATTTCCACGTATCCAGTCCATGTAAGCTCCACTCGTATAACTCGTATTAATTTGTTTAAGTTCTAGTATTAACTAAAACAGTATAACCGTCAACATATTTAAGTATTATATTATTAAACTTGATCTCTTATCTATCAATAATTTTCATTCTATTTAAGGAAGAGTTTATTTTATTTCAATAATAACAACCTCTAATAAAAGAAATATTTATTTAAAATTTTATAAGGGACTTACATATATAACTTTTTTTTTCTTTATTAAATCATCAGAATTCTTATTCAGACAAACCAAAAGGAACATTAGATAATTATAGTTTTCTTGAGAATTTCTTCTATTCCATTTTCTTTTTTCGGTTTTGGTGAAATTTAATTTTAATTTTTATCTGTGTTGATAAGTCAGATTAAGTCATAATATGCACAGTTATTTCAAATTATTTTCAAATCTATTGTAATGAGTCAACTCTCGTATAATATTAATTATAATCATTTGTTAATTGGAAGAGAGAGTTGCAAATTTGTAAAAATATATTTATTTATTTATTAGAGATTGAAAGATTTTCATGTAGCTAATGTATGTGATTATCAAAAAATAAAAAAAATAGTTTTATGCCAAACGATTTTATTGTGTAAACAACCTGCCAGATTTAAGTATAATAATTAATTTAAATACTTCGAAAATTCATGTAGCAGCACTAAACGAACTTTTTCACTATATAATGTTTTAGAGGAGAGAATTTCTTCATAATAAAATATATCAAGTCAATAATATTTCTACAAGACTAATTATATATGTAGAGTGTGAAAAGTATGAATAATGGAAAAAATGCCTAAATTTGGATTTCTATAAATGAAAAAAATCATAATTCCAAAACGTTTTACTATATCCATATGTATTAGCGTTGTAACCGTTTTCGTTTTATATTAACAGTCAATATAATTTCTGTCATATGCTACCATATAAATATGTAAAAATTAATTGTATTTATTATAATTTTTGTGTGCTGGGTACTGTAAGTAAAATAACATAAAATTTAATTTATAAGTAACGAAAATTTCTTTTCATACAGTGTAGTTAAATATACATAATATTTTAAAAGAAATAAGAGGGATAATAATTAAATAAAATATTTGGAAAAAATTAAAAAAGATGCCAGTAATGAAATTACAAAAAAAAATAAAAAAATTATAATAAAACAAACAAAAAACAAGGAAACAAATTATCTACTACCTAAATAACAAAAAAAAAAAAAAAAAAAAAAAACGTATTCCTCCAATTTTCTTCAAACTACTGAACATGATAAATACTGATGAAAACTATATTTTACTAGCTGTTCAAAAGCTTCAAGTACGGAATTAAAACATAAATGATCATTTTCATCATTGAAAAATATATACAACCAAAAAACAAACATTTTAATTGTCGGGTAGAAGGTATAATAATATTAGCTTTGGTCGAATTCTGAGGTAGTAGTTCTACTCAGCGGACTCTGTCACTTATAAGTAGAGCCAGAATCTGAAGATCTAACATTTTTTTAATACAAGGAATATATCGTAAAAACCAATATTTACTAAAAAATATATCAAAAAAATTAATATTCCTCATGCCTTTAATGTCAATATTTCAATTTTAATTTAGTGTTTAAATGTTTGAAGAGAGAAAAAAAAAAAAGATCATAGACCATTTATTAAAAACAATATGTAGTATAAAGGATCGGGGGAGCTCAGTGGGTGAGCACTGACTTCCAGAGCTCAACGTCCGGGGTTCGAATCCGGCTGTTGTAACTTTTCATCAGTCGACCCTGGGGCAACCCCTGCCTCTATAAAGTGGGTACTCATAATTAAATAATTAATTAAGGGAGAAAACCGGGCGGTTGAGCTTGACATTGACCCGTCACCTCCCTGCTCAACCGTTTGCCGTGTAACAGTACTTCCTCACATTGTGCTGAACTCAAGACCCTTCATGGGTTGTAGTGGTACTGGGCATTTTTTTTTTTATTTGTAGTATTTGCAGAGTTTAAATATTGCTAAACGTGAAAAATAAAAGAACATAGTAAAACTACGTATAATACACTGAGAGGCAAAAAATTCCATCCACTTGATTTTTTCATGTTTTCATCTGAAAATATTTGTGCTTTGGATTGGTCTATTGTTTTTAATGAATAAATAAGTAATCTTTTTGTTTGTTTTCAGTTAGGAATGTTAATATAGATGACAATAACCCTTAATCCTTAATTCAATGAAATGATTCTAGATTCCAGTGTTTACTTTCTATGGAATCAAAATGTTTATTCAGTATCATTAGTTCAGTGCCGTTTCTTGCAGCACATTTCTTAGTCTCTGGCTTTTAATTTTTTCAATATTAAGTTTAAAAATGCCTCTTAGTGCTGAGGATGTTGCGCGTGGTGTGGCATTTATTGATGATGGACGTTCCATTAGATATGCAGCTAATGCCATCGGAGTTCTATATGAAACTTTACGAGACGCCGTCAGGCGTTTTCGGGAAACTGGTTCATACAATAGAAGGCCCGCTTCTGGACGGCCTAGGGTAACAGAACCACGGGATGACCGGTTTTTGACTTTGGGAATTTTATGAAACTGGCACCTTACCGTTGTTCAAGCGATTCATCAGCTCGAAGAAGTTCGAGGTGTGCAAATTTCTGAACGTACCGCTCGGAGAAGATTAAATGAGTATGGATTAATGGCTTTTCGTCCAGTAAGAGGACCAGAGTTGACCAGAACTCACAGAGTAACACGGCTTCTTTTGCTCGAGAACACAGCCATTGGACTATGGGCGAATGGAGTGCTTAACTCGATGAGTCGAGATTAGCTCTTCGATCTCCAGACGGGCGTAAAAGGGTGTGGGGAAGAAGAAACGAAAGATATGTATCCTGTAATTTTTCCCAGAGCCAACCTTTTCAACGTTGTTCCTTAATGGTGTGGGCTGGGATTTCAGTGGAGCGCCACACAGAATTGGTTGTTGTTCGTGGAGGGTCTTTGACGGCCATTTGCTATGTAGATGAGATTTTTGAACCTCATGTGTTGCCTATCCTCAACAAAATCGGCGATCGTTCTATTCTAATGCACGCCCACCTGTCGCCCGCATAGTGCAGACGTTCCTTCAACAGAAGAATATTGAGGTTTTAGCCTGGCCAGCACGTTCTCCAGATTTGAACCTCATTGAGCATTTATGGGATAACCTCGGAAGACGAATAAGAGCGCGTGCAACACTTCCTGATACACTACAGGACCTTGAAAGGGCTTTTCGGGAGGAATGGGCTATCCTCCAACAAAGGGACATTTCCCGACTGGTGGAAAGTATGCCGAGGCGTCTTCAAGAAGTAGTGAAGGCAAGAGGAGGAAACACGGGCTACTAAACGATGATGTAAGTAATTTCTTTTAGAATAATAATAGTTCGTTTTTCAATTTTTTTTCTCTAATCTTTCTTACCCAATCACATTTTGATTATTAAATGTAAAAAAGATTATAAAATTCCATAAATACTAAGTATTATCTACAAATACCATGTATTATATACAAATACAAATTTACAGAAATGTTTTTAGATGAAAACATCGAAAAATCAAGTGTGTATAATTTTTTGCCTGTCAGTGTAGTATAACTATAACTAAGGAATATTAAAACATAATATCCACAGAAATTGGAGTTTCGATAAATATTATTACTTCACAAAAAAAAGGTAAGTTTCTAAGCCCAGGGCGAATTCAATCTATCGATGGAACCCAGCAGCGATGGACAGCGATTTACGTTAAGTTTGGGAACGACCTGATGGGTTCCAGCGGAAGATCAACATTCCTAGAAGGTTACTAAACCCATGAAAAATAAGAAAATGTATAACGAAATATCTAACTACTGAATTATGTAATTTCAAAACAGATATAAATAGGGTAAGTACCTGAAGTGAACCCTGAGCTCTGCTAATTCTAGTTAACACTAGTTCGACCAGTTTAGAGACGGTCCGATAGCATCCATGAGCTCAAAACTGAGTGATCTTATGAACTTGACCATATAGACAGAAAGTGGAAAGACAAGACAATATATAAAGCAGGATTTGAAATGATTTTTTTTAAAACATTTATTATTTAATCCATCCCTGTCACAGCCTATAACAATAAGTGGATTTGATCTTTATTGATAGAATTGGCATGTCAGGCATGAGGGAAGTCGGTACCCATCGGCACCTACTCCTAACTTGAAATAAATGAAAAATTTAATCCAGGAGATCCTTAAACCAGCTCCTTTTCAGCCTTGGTCGGACGTTTTCTGCCTTATGTCTTGTGGCCATGTTTTGTATAAGCATGTTAGTAAAGTTTGGCATGGAATTGTTTATACGATGTCCGGATGTGATCTTGTACCATCGGTATGCTTATTTCAAAATTCTATTTGATGTTCTGGATTACTAGATTTCATTATTGCTACCTCAGTTATTAAATCAGACAACAATCTGCAAACATTTTTCTAGGCGCATCTATTAATTCCTTTACTGTATTAAAATTATTATTATAAACAACGGCTTCTGCTGGCCCATCTAAGTGACTTATTACAGCTCGAAAAATGAGCCAATGATTGTGACCTCTTTCAATTAGGTTTTCTGCACAGTAAGTTTTGGTTAAATCTGAACAAGTAGTAATAAATTGTGGCAACTTGTAACTATACCCATCATACCTAGGGAGATATTTCAATATTTCATGAGGGATCACTTTTGCAACTGACGTGTTTGTAATTAATTGAGAAGATATTAAACTGAAATTGGTATTTTTTAAATTATTATTTATGAAATTTACAACTGTACACATTAATATACATTCAGAAAATGTCATACATAGAAATACATGACATGACAATGCTTTTAGAGAATCTATCCATTGGTAGCACTCTAATAAAGTATCTAAATTAGGAGATCACGAGGCCATTATCTTTTCAGACATCTAGGAGGGTTATCAGAGATCGAGGGAGAAGCAAGGTTAGAAACGAGAGGATTAGTATAGTTCTGAAGTTTATTATGGAAGGATAGATGTCTGGATTGGGCCAAATCGGAAACATATGGAACATTCAGGTCATTGTGGATGATTTTATTTGAAACAGAGCAAGGAGCATTGAGGATTTTACGAAGGATTTTGGATTGTAAGGAGTGGATACGAGAGAAATTCGATGGTTTAGTGGAGTCCCAAAGCTCCACTCCGTAAGTCCAAATAGGCCTTATTATGGTCGTGTATATGATTAATTATGGTCTTTTGTATTTAATTGAAAGGGTAGAGCGTTTGTCTAGTAAGTGCTGAAGTAGGCGGAAAGGTCGAGCGGTTTCTTGTCGTTTCAGTGTGGTATGAGGATTCCAAGTTAGACGTTTGTCCAGATGGAGTCCTAGATAGCAGATTTGTTCAACGGGGAAAAGTGGGGTATTATTAAAGGATACTGTAGGACAGGAAGTCATAGGTTCACGACGAAGAGTAGAGCTAATTTGGTGGGATTTATTTTAGTTCTCCAGTTTTGACAGCATTCTTCAAGGTTCGTAATGTGGGATTGAAGGGTTTAGGATGCAATTGTTGGGTCGTTATGAACTGATAGGGGACATGGGTCATCGGCATAGGTTGTACCAACGGTGTTTGGATGGGTTG